GGTCCTGAAGAGATTTCTCCCAGTTAGACTAGTGGAGGAAAGGTAGATATGTGAACACTTCAGGGTTTGTCATGGGGCTTCTAGGCTTGCACATACGCTCTGAGGAAAGAGGAAGATGTCTGGGCATCTGCAGAGGATTTCAGTAGCTTGACCAAGCACTGGCGCAGGTTGCTCAGAGGGATTGAGGAGTCTTGGAGATCTTCAAAACCCATCTGGACGTGGTGAATGTTGGAGGATGTGGGAAGAGAAAGGTGAAACTATGAAATGGGAGTGGTTCACTGGCAAACAGACGAAGGATATCCAGGCGAAATATTAGATTCTGTCTTTACTCAGACTTTCACAGATGCCCAGAGAGACCCAAGGGAAACCACTTGGCTAAACTTCAGTACCTTTTGCACTGCTGCATACCTTTCACCCATTAAACTGCTGCAAGGTTTTAGAAAAAAATGAAGAGAAGAAAGTAAAAATTCCAGCCTCCTGCTTCCCACTCCCAGCCAAATAGCACCAACCAAGAACACTCAGACATTTACCTCTGTTCGTCGGGAAAAAAAATGAAGCTCATTTTGTGTATCACTAATATTGTGGCTACTGTTTTATGGCCAGATATCTGTGTTTTTTTTCATGGGACTGCTCAGTCTTCAAGAAATGAAGTGTGATTTTTACAGTTTGCATGGCAGTGATTTATATGGGGGTCACGGCCTGTCACATGACAACACCTGACCCCACATAACATGATGTAAGTGTAAGAATTGCAGTCTTTCTCAGGGTCAGCAGAACCATCACACAGGTCCCAGTGTTCAACACACCACCCACAAAGTGGGACATACATCTTTTTCCTCTTTTTTATTTTTATTTTTTTGTCAGCTCCCTGAATTACTTTCAGGTAGTTCTGCATGTTTCTACTTTTTCATTTAATTAGGTGCAAACACTCTGTATAAATAAAATAAAAAGTTCCCTGCAGCTAGTAGACTGTTGCAGACTGCCAGACACTGAAAAATGTTTGTCTCCATTACTGTTGCTTAATAATTCAGGTTTTATAAACAAAGAAATCTTTCTCTCCCCCTTTTTTTTTTTTTCTTTTCCAGTTTTTTGGGGGCTAAAAGCACGGATGCAGCTGTAGAATAAGTCTGGATCCTCATATACACTAGGTGTACTCTCAATGAATATAAAAGATGTATAGTGCTACCAATGATTCCAGACTGCCTTTCAGTTGCACAGACTCCATGTCCTTCAAGACACATCAGTCAGTCATTGCAATACTTGTACGTAAATGCTATATTGTCTGTGAGGTATTTCAGATCCCTTTTCATTGTGCTTGGTAAGCCGAGCCGAAATTCTGGATGTCCTATTTCTAGTGCAGATGAAGACATAAACTTTAAGAAGCAGACATCTCCAATGATAAAGTCATAATACTACAAAGATATCTATAAAGGAATTTGTGATGGTTTACTAAGAGTGTGTCAGAATGGTGTGTATAGCTGATGAGCTCCATTTGTACGTGAAGAGAGAAAATATGAAGATGCTGTGTAACTTACAGGTTGACATCTTAGTGAACTGCAGTACCCAAATCCTCTTGATTTTCACGGTTCTTTCCACTGTAAAGAGTGCAGTCTTCAGCATGACTGTCCTGTAGGAAATTAACTCCTTCATTACATCAACATACATTAGCCAGAATCTGAAAGTATGGCATCGGTAGCTCTTAGCTTGGCATGGATGCCACAAATGGTTGTGGAGTTATTTATCGGTGCCATTATTTCATGCAAGCTGTGCAGCTGAGTGTAGGACATAAAGCAAAATATACACCTCAGTAATTTCCCTATGCACGTCCTTGCAACTTCATCTGGGGACAGTGCTGCTGATGTTCCAAATGGTATGATAAATTTCAGCAATCAGAATTCTTAGAGCAATTTAATTACCACCTCACTCACTTTTGTATTAATTAGTTCTCTTTTTTTAAAAAAAAAAGGATGATAAATAAAGCTTAAATCTATAATCCGTTTAAATGTAGCTCTTCAGACTAAATTATGCAGACTGTCAACATCTGAAATTTACTGGTTAATCAAGGAAACAAGCTAACATGAATCTCCTGCTTCAACAGAGATGAGAGATATCTTTTTCAGTACAGAAACTTTTTTTCTGTTGTGCTTTCTTGTGATATGAAAAGTGACCTTTCCTTTGACTTTCCAGCATTCTTCAAAGGCCAGATTCACTGCCAGCTGCAATTCTTGAACAATTCTGCCAACATCTACCCAGCTTGGCTGGAAACAGCAGATTTTTCTAAAGGGTGTCTATTCGCTCAAGGCCTTAGGGTCTTGCACCTTTATCCTGCAAAGACTTAAGATCACGTGTAAGAATTTGCAGAATTGTGACTTTCACACCTATAATCTCTATATTATGTAAGTCTTTCGTGGTAGAAAATAGATATTCCTAGGAGTAGATATGAAAAGGTCAAATACAATAATAATATGGGCTCCATTGTAGATACATATTTTCAAATACTTTCAAATATGTCTTCAATCACCTAAATTTCTTTTAGGTGTTTTTTTGTTGCAAAGAATTCACTCTTAACTTGAATGACATATTCCACATGGAAATGTATGTAGATGCTTTCCAGTTACTAGATGCCCAAAGCATTATTGTGTGCTTTACAGTACACGAGTGCTTTGGGTGCACTGCATTCACATGTATACATATAAATACTTCATGGCACCGTGCCTTCACGTGTCTTACTCTCTTTGTAAAAGCTTGTACACAGTGAAACAGTGTTTTATAAAATATCACTGTTGGCACATTCACTACTCCCAAGGCAGGCATGATCTATGACCTGTGTAAAGTTACACATACAATTAATCTTTTGTAATGTAACACAAAACATTGTGCATTACACACTGAGTTGTTCGACCAATGTGTTACTGTAGTACTGTGAATGCTAGAGTTTCTGAGCAAATATTTATATCTGTATCTATCCATCATAAGATCCAGACCTCGTTTTGAGTATTTGGTGCAAAGAAGCCCAGTGTATAAATGCAGAAATTTAACCCAATTAATGTTGATTTCAATGCAAAACAATGTGCATATCATTTCAGTACCAAACCTGAACTCTTCAGTTTTATATAAATCTTCCAAAATACACTAGGAACAAGAGTTTTTTTCCTATTGAAATATTAGATTTGAAGGACAACTGGTTTGCAGTGATGCACTTAATTACTTCCAGGAGTCAATAACTGGCAAGCATCCCTACCCTTTCAAGCTTACATTCTTAATTTACAGCTGAGATGGGATGCGAGGAAGAAGCCGGTTCACTCTACCAGCTGTTCATGCCTTCAGTAAGGAACATATCCTGTGGTCTGTTGTAATTCTTTGAAATCAGTGACATGTTCTGCTCAAGAATACAAGCTGATTTTCCAAGACAGGAGCCAGAGTGGCAACATGCCCTTACATATATCAACAGGAGAAAATGATCCAATTACAGCAAAATAAATCAAGCAGACCTTTGGAATTTTAGATGGAAATCTACAAGATGCTGCCCTTTCCCACAAATGCTTTGGCCAATCCCTCGGGGACAGCAAAGGGCAAATAAAGTTGTCAGCCTTATGACAAATGTCAAGGAAACGTGGAGCTACTGCTGTGGTCATGTCAAGTCTCGGTTCATGTCTGTGTGTCTTGATGTAACTGGTTGCTCAGTTTCATGAAATGTCTTTGCTATCTCACTGAAAGTATATAGATCCCACATCCTCTTTCTTTTTGTGCCCACTGATTTTTAAAATGGATATCAAACTATTGGAATATCAGAGTAAAAAACGCATCTTATGCCATTAGCAAAGTCACCACTAAAAGAAACAGAAAAGTTCGAAGAATGCTACAATTTTCTATTTCCTTTTCTGTCATGTTAATTTCTGCAGTACATAGCATACAATTTCCATTGGCACAAAATGTAGTTATGTAGTTACAGTGCACTGATTGTTAAAGATTTAGCGAGCATGAAGCTGCCCTTCTAATTCTGGTGGCGTTCCTTACAAGTCCTTGGTTGACAAGACAAGGTAAAGAAACCTGCTGCCATCTGTGTTCTTTGGATAAACAGAAAATTCAAAGCTACCTGTCCAAAACCTTTCAAAGTGTATATTTGCATCGTGTGTATGTATAGTCACAGAACCAAAGAATCACAGAATCGTAGGGGATGAAAGAGACCTGAAGAGATCATAGAGTCCCAACTTCCTGCTGAAGCAGGTTCCCCACAGGAGGTCACACAGGTAGGCATCCACGTGGGTTCTGAATATCTCCAGAGAAGGAGACTCCACAGTCTCTGAGCAGCCTGTTCCAGTGCTCTGTCACTCTCACAGTAAAGAAGATCTGCATATTTGTTCATTTTCCTATGGAAAGAGGCTAAGATCTCTTAAAAATCACCTGAATCAGAACTTTATCAACCCAGATTCATCAAACATAGGCATTTTTAAAGCTTCCAGTACCATGGTGTTATTGCTTGCTTGAGTATCATACAGGGAGGTTCCTAAGGTTGAGTCATTCCGATCAGACTGAAAATAGCATTTGGCAGGCTCATCATGATCAGAAGATGTCTACCGGCACCTTGCCCTTTCTGCCACCAGGGCCATGGTGGTAGGGAGGTTGGGTTCCTGCTCCAGCTGTCGGTGGCTTGGAGTTTCCAGCTAACTGAACATTTTTGCCCAGCTTTGAATTTCTAAGGGAAAAAATTTTAAGAAGCTGAAATCAAAGCAAAATAGGATGGGAATATGAAAACAACATTTCTCAGTTCTGCTGAGTTCCAACAGCAACACGAAACTATTCCGTTTATATATTTAGTGAAATAAATCCTGGCATCACCACTCATATATTTCCTCTTATTGTGGGTTATATTTTTTTTAGTTTTGTTTGGACAAATTTAGGACGAGTGGGAATAAGGGACAGATGTCACTGCTGCAAGTGTTGACGGGAGCTGGAAATTCCCCTCGCCAACTGCCTCCAGCCCCGAGGAGCACCAGCCCGTTCCTCTGTGTCAGGGGCACTGATGAAGGGATGAACGACAGTGTTTTGAAGCAGAGTCCAACTTTGACCTGTACTTCCTTCTGTCCCTCCAGAAGCTGGGATCTGGAGCAGCAGGACTAGCAGTCCCCATCCTCAACGAAATTCCACTGTCATGGTATAGTGCCATCTGCCACCTTTCCTCTGCTCTCACCTGCAGACTGTCACTCTTGCTGTGGCAGATGCTGACCTGCGACCCTAAGCAACACTGGCTGCTTTCACTCCACAGAGGGAAAGCACTCCCCGCTCACCATCCCATCCCCGTGGGATGCATAGCTCCTTCCACAAACTCATCCCTTCCCAGCGCCAGCTATGCAGCTGCCCTTCTCCCCTCAGCCAGTGATTTCTCCTGTTCGTTTCTTGCCTCATCCCCCCTTTCCCTCCCTCCCGGTGTCTGCATTTCTCGCACCGCTCGCTATTTACTGACAGGGCAATGTGACTTTTCGCACCGGCTCTCGCTGCTCGCTGCCCTGCCGATTGGGCTGGGCAAAGCCTCTCCCCAGCCCCAGCTGGCCGGACATCTCCCCCCACCTCCCCTCCCCTTCACACCCGCCAAGCGACAGATTCCACTCTCCCTCCCTCTCCCTTTCTTTTTCCACCCCTCCCGCCTTCAGCACAGACCCAACACTCAGGATCCCGCCGAGAGAAAGCGGCTCCTTGAAACCATCACCGCAGCCCGTGCTCCGACGGAGGGAGAGGAAAACCTCCGCACCACCTCCTGCATCGGGGGGGCTTCGCGGCAGGGCGATGGCTTTGAGCTCCCGGAGATCATCTCTCACCTTTGCCCGGGGTGTGGGACCCGTCTTCTTCATCCTCCAGATCATCTCGGTTCGGGCTGATGGTGAGTCTCCACTCTGTTCGGGCTGGGTTGCTGGGGCTGGAAGAAGAGCTCTGTGTTGAAATGGGTTATTGAAAAATACAACAAGAAAAAAAAAAAGAAAAACAACAACCAACCTTTCTTTTTTAATAAGAAACTTAAATACATGCCCCAGTATGGGTTAGGAAACGTGTGATTCAGAGCTTTCTGAGACTTTGCAAATATCCTGGGGTGAAGCAAGGAACGGAAATAAGATCCCAGAAGGCTCAGATTGTTTTATTACAACAGAACAACAGGATAGTGACCTTTTCCAGGGGAAGTAAGGATAACAGAACAAAGCCAGAACACAAATAAGAAGCAGCAGCTCTCTCTCCATTATTATTATTTTTTAAATTATTTTATGTATAATTAAAAATACCATTTCTCTGAACGACTTCCACATCTGCCCAGCTCAGATGTCACCGAACGTCAGCTTACACGGGCAGGTACTGAGGAAGGGGAGACGAGAAGCTGAAGGCTTCTGCTCACAGCATTTTTGATCCGGTACAGCACGCTCAGGACAGCAGCTGACCCTCCTGCGAGGGCTTCACCTGCTCTGCACCACTGAGGGATTCGATCGGAGCACAAACTGGGCTGAATCACCACCGGCTGCTTACTCTGCAAGACACTCGCTGACAGTAATCCCGAATGGCAGCATCCTTTGCAAGTAGCCCATTCCCATTTGAATAATTAAGCCCCCCGATGATGGCCAACTTGCCTTGGTGATAACATCATTAATTTTTAAAGCAACTGTTTCTTTTCCTGGGAGAGCAGTGCTGAATGGCCATGGTTTTGTTTTGTTTTGTTTTTTCATTTTGCAGCTGCAATAGATTTATGCCTGATCTCAGGATATATATATTTTGTCAGTACAGTAATCCTTTACCACTGATGTTTGCTGTATTGTGCTGGAGAACAGTTCCTTAACATTATAGGGCAATAAAAACCTCTGCTTGTTCTCGGAGCATTTTTCCACCTCGGCTGAAATTTCTGTCATTTGGTCACGAAATATGGCAAAGGAAAGGGGACAATCCTTCTGCTCACTGCTACCACTTGGTATGCATTTATACACCAGAACCTTGTCTTGTAAATTCAAAGAAAAGGGGAGTAAGAGTAAAGTGAAAGAAATGTATAAGATGACCCCACTGTATTGCAGAAGGAAAACTGCAGTTCTGATTTTAGGAAGTCCTCCTTCCACAGCAAAATCCCTCTCAAATGAGGAAAAAAAGCATCACTATGGATGAAGGCTCTCCACATGACTTGCAAAAGGCATCAGGACGGGAATAATTAATTTGCCTTTGCTAAGAGTGCTTTGTCTGAAAAATTCCCTTTTCAGGAACACCTCCCAGTTTGTTTTGTTTCTGGAGGATTGAAGACATAGATATCCTCTCAAAGAGAAAGGGGAAAATGCTGGAGACCATTTCGAGGCAAAGTTCATGACAGATTTTAATTGACTTTCAACAGTCTGTCAAATCTACTTTACATGTGGTAAAGCATTTTAAGAATTAAAGGGCGGGATATGTGAAGTACTTTATAATTGCCAACCGTTATTGTAACACCGCTGTTCTGATTTTTATTTAACTTCTAAAAGTCGTTGCTGAAAACGAGTAAGTCCTCTACCAACGTGCTCCTCAGCGTGTTCTCCTGCTATTAGTACTACAGCGAACAATTGTAACACTGTCCTGCAAACCATCTGGCTAAATATGCAGAAGAAAACATTTGATTTGAACTTAAAAATTTACTGCTACACACAAGTTTTCGTATTTAAGAAGATCTGAGAGTAACGAACAGCAGTAATGCTCCCTTCCATAGCGCATTTGAGCCCGATCCAACAGGAAACCAGTTTCTCAGTTGTGGAAATTTTAGGTAAAAATACAACTGTGCCATTCTCTGTTATATGCAAATGTCATTTAGTGACGAAGGATGGTTCTGGGTGACGTGTGTATGTATTGGGTACTAAAGGAACTAAACGTTTTGCAGAGTGCTGAAGGGATTTTGACTCCACCTTGTAAAAACCCAATGAAATCCAGACTGGCCCCTGTTACAGGCAACTCCCCAAAACTGCTTGGAATATATTTCCCAAAGGAAGACTTTCACTTTATTATCTCACACACAAATAATGACAAAGAGCAGGCAGTAAAAGTGGAGACCCTTGGGGTCTGGTGAAAGTGTAAAGCCTTGAAGCTTAATTGATCTCTTCTGACTAATATTTACTGCAACATGTATTGCTGTAGAGCGGATAGACTCCAGAAAGACAAAGATAAACACCTAAACAAAAGATAGCTTTGTTTCGCTTTGCAATTTGCTTTTTCTACAATGGAAATACGCTTGTTCATAGCTGTGGAGATCAGGGTCCCTCAGATAAGGGTCTCCTCAGGGCCTATTTCTGCTCGGACTTACTCTGGTGTAAGTGTGCAGCAGCATAGCGCTACTACTGCCAGCACAGTTACTGCTGAGATAGGTTATGGAAAGCAGTCAATAAACACAGCTCAGCCTTCAGGAGTTGCTCAGCCACAGCTAGCCCTGGTAGGTTCCAGGTTTGTGAATGGGAACCACACAGTCAAACAGCACTGCGGTGTAACTTTTTTCTCAGCTGGAACCAACTTTAAACTTCACCTTTACGAAGATAAAGGTTTTAATTATGTTCTTGTGATTGTAGCAGTTCTTAAATAACACACTGCAAATGGAAACTTTTTGGAATATCTTTGTGCTGGGATAGGAGAAAAAGTCTGGCTTCATGTGTGGCGTACAGGAGTCACCTTTGCTTTTCTTGACTCCTCCTTTTGTCACTACTATTAAAATGTAAATAGGTATGAGCCATAGTTTTCTGCAGATAACTTGCCCTGAGAAAAAGTGTGTGGCAGAGAATTATGGCAGTTAATCTACCTTACTAATACACACCTGATTTGAGAAACGCTCTACTTGTAACACTTGAGAAATTATTTCAAAGCAGTGGTGTTCTGTTGGCTCAGTTTTGGGGTACATACAAAACCAATTGGCCAAGGCAATCACAGGGGTTGGAAGGAAGCTCCAGAGATCAGCGAGTCATTTGGTAGTGAGCACACACCGTGACTGCAGAGGTTGCAGGTGAAAGATTATGAATCCAGAAGGCTAGGCACAATTAAGTGAGGATCTGACCGTACTGCTGCCCTAGAAGCAGACAAATCTGAAAGTAGAATTTTACTGATACGCTAATATTTCTCAGTGTATTGGAGCAGACTGATATCACTTTGGTGCTCACACAGCTGCCCTTTTGCTACATATGCAGGCTAGATACAGTACTCCAGTCCTATAGGGAAAGAAGTCTTATGCTGGTAATAATTAAGATTTTCTTCCCTATAGGATTGCTGTTAAGCAGAAGTCAGTGGGCAGAACTAGCTATCAAGTATGTTTCAGTAAATAAGAAAAAATGAAACAAATTAAGTACCTATTCTGAAAAAAAAAAAAAAAGGAAAAAAAAAACCCCACACAAAAAAGAATTACGTGGATAGCAGAGATAAGGAGCAGTTTTAGATCTGCAGTAAAACTCCTGGAAAATTTTAAGAGGGAAAAATCCTACTATGGTCTTTCTTGATGAAAAGGCTCTAAAGAAAGCCAAAGGAAAAGAAAAGAAATTATGCTTCTTCTCTTCTGCTGAATCTATACAGCTGTGTTTGAGTAGCAGGTGTGTAAGCAATTCCGGTCCTACTTGCAAACCAGCTAATATGTTTGTATGTTGCAAAAGCAAATCCATAAACAATTGCAAATATTTGACCCTAAAGCCTTTACTAACATTAAAATTTAAGTTCAACGTGAGCTTAGCTGAGGAGGAACTCTGAAGTGACCTCCAAATTTTTCTACTTTTCTGATGATGCAATATTTTAAGCAGTTTGAACTAAATAAGACATCATTCATTTTATTTTCTCATAGAAATAAACTCTACATTCATGAACATTCTGGTAATTACCCAGATCTCTCTCTGTAATTGTACAGTTTTACTGAATCTCCCACCCTTGCTATTACAATCAAGGCCATTGTTACACATAGCCATAGAAATGGAAATGAAATTGCTTTTGAAGTACAGAGTTTAACTTCTCTTCCTCCACTCTCCTTTACCTCGATTTGAAGACTTCAGCATTTAAGTAAAAATAAATCAGTGGTGAAATATATACATCTTTTACCACATTTATTTCGTTAAAAGTGATGAGGTTCTACCATTTGAGCTAGTAAAACATCATCCTATCAGCACAATAGACATGCCTTTTTAAGTACTTCATTTTATATTATTTGTGAGAGACGCTTCTGTTTTAAAGTCTATTTGGTTCCTTCAAGCATGGTACAAGTCCTCCGGAGGACATGGAAGAGTTTGAACTTCAGTAGGCTTTGAACAGTGCCTGTATACCTCAAAAGAACTTCTGTTTGTTAATGTATTAGAATAAATTATCCAACTCTGTCTTCTGTTAATTCCACTGGGATTCCTACAAGTAAGAAGGAATGGAGCTGGGAGTCTTCTGAAGTGTCCCTTTCTGTGCTTTTCTGTATCTGATTATAGACAGCTCTTCAGTCTCTAAAGCATAATAAGGTTCAGTTGTTAGAAGCTGAGTTTAGCAAAATTTGAAACTGGAAATAAGGTGGAGTGAGAGTAATGAACCATTGGAACAGTTTACTATAAAGCGTGCTGTAAATTCTCCATTACTTGGAGTCACTGAATCATGACTGGATGCCTTTTGAAAAGACATGCTCCAGTTCAACCATGAATTTTTGGAGTCAGTGTTGGAACTGCAGGGGGAAATCTACAGTCTAGTTATGTAGAAATTCAAACAAGGTGATAAAAATGAATCCTAGAGGGCTTGAGATCTATGGTTATGTTCTCAATCATACTGTACTGGGGTACTCTTTAATAAACACTGTCCTCAGCTATTGCTTGTTGACAAAATTTTAGAGCCAAACAATAAGTAATAAAAAAAAGATTTATCTATTTATCAAAATAGAATTACAGTTCTGTAATGATGATAGCAGAGGCTATCTATATAATATACTGCAGTTATTAAAGAAATTTCAAGCGTGAATTTTTATCGAGAACTGCAAGTTCAGCTGTTAATTAACTACAGGAAGAATTATGTCTTATCATTTATGTCTTAGCAGTGAAGTTAGAACTTTTTCACTAGTTTCAAAGGGAAACCTGAAAAATCTCTACGATGCAGACATTTTTCAATCTGAAACTGTAAAACTCAAATTATGTATTAAGTATTCTGAGAAAGGCTACTTCCCATAGATTCCTAGCTTGAACTTGAAATAGAGACTGGCTTTGTCTGAAATCTTCAGAAAAGTATGTAGAGTTTTGGTAACAGATTTCCATACCACCTGTCTCATCATTACACTATGGGAAGCAGAAATGCTACAGGCTACAGAAATGAAGGAAGAGCATAGGGAGTGAGCTCAGATGTGCTGGCTGTTGCACAACCAAAGGTATTCATGCAAATATACAAAAAGACATGATCCTTGCATGCTGTTCACTATGGAAATACAGCAGCCTTGTATTTAAAACAGGGTGATAATGCATCTCTTGAGATTATCTCAGAGAGAAAACTGGTTTCAACTACTCTACGCTGTCATAGTGTGTTGAACAGAGGGGTGATACCATTTCAATATTTCACAACCCATATAGTAAAACTGACTGTGTATCACCAGGTATGTGAGGCAGGGGTTTTTTTAATTCATTTTTCACTGTAAAAAGCAACAACAAAAGGTTTACAAATATCTTGCCCTTAGGTGCACAGCTTCAAAATCAGACCACTTGTGTGACTGAAAGAGAAAATAATCAGTACAAGAATGTTTCAAGCCAGTCAGTCACAGCACTGTAAGGTGCACTGCTGCAGTCTTATTTATTTAAGGGATTTTGATGGGCTTTTCCCTGTTGCTGTTCTAATATGTCTCCTACTTATTTTTTTCCTTCTAAATGCCCCTTTGTAAAGTGACACTAGGCAGAATACTGGGGATCCAAATGTTTCATTGGTAAGGTACCAGGTGCAGCTTGCTACTACTTATAAATTAAAAAAAAGACAACAACAAAGCAAAACATAAAGCACATGTTAAAATCTGGGCAGATAGCCATAGAACTTCCGGAGTTCTGGAGAAGATTCACAGGTCATTCTGGTAAGATGGACAGCCATTTTCATCCCCTTCTGGCTGACCAGAATTTCCTATGAAGCAGTTCACTATAATTTTCCTGACCAGTAAGACTTTCCTAGCTTACCCTAAAATCTATTTGCCTACATATTTTGGATGTCCCAGAAGTCCAGCACTTTCATACTTTCTAGCAAGAAGTTAATTTACATTAACAACTGTAAAACACCTGGAAAAACATAATGGGCATCTACTGGTACATAGGCGAAATGATGAACTTTATTTCTTCTAATTATTTTTTTACGGAACTCAGTCCTTAAAGATTTTTCTTTCAAGTTTAGCCTCCTAAATAAAATGCTTTAAAATCTTTATAAATGAAAGATGTTCCACAACTAAGGAATGGCAATTTAAAGTCATTCTGCTTATATTGCTTCTCCCGACTCCATGCATTCTTCACTGTGGCTGTTCATGGCTTTGGAAACAACAAAATTTGGGGCACTGGCAAAGAATCCTGAGGTTTTTGTTCTCAGGAGTGAAGAGGCTTGCTTTTTTCACCGGTCTGTGTGTACTCCCTAATTCTAGTCATAATTCATTATATTGTTTAGTCTAGTGGTTAGGACACTGATCAGTGCTTCTGGGTTGCACTCTATATGGGAACTGCTGAATCACAGCCTGAACCTCTGATTGAAGCGAGCAATGAGTTAGCCTTGGGAGCACAGGTAAAGGCAATTGGGAAAAAATTGGAAGGGGTGGAGCCTGGCTGCACCTCTCCTAGACCTATTTAAGAGCTGACTGCCAGTAGGAAAGGGTCTTTGCTAGAGATCCCTACTCTGGAGTTTTGCAGTGAGCCTAGGATACAGGTAAGCTTTCTGTCTATTTTCTTTTTGTTACTATAATCTGCTTTGTCAAACTCTCTTGTTTATTTCGTAATTCTAGCATCATTATATTCATTAATTATATACACTCCTACGTCAACTTGCTGCCTCAGAAAATCACTCTGCTTACTATGGATTCCCTTTCCTTATCGTTATTGCTTGTCCTGTTTATTTAGTTGCTTTCTGTCTATCATGTGAACTCCTTGCTGTGCATATCTAGAATGACCACGCAAACAGAGCTCTTTATCAGGACCCATCTATGCTTGTTAGTGTAAACACAAATTACATATTTACATGATAGAAATTTTGTATATTTCAATGTAACGATTGTTCCTTCATTAGTTTAAATTCTGCACTAGAGAGAACAGAGAGCTGTTAGGCACAGACTTATCCTGTATCAGTGGCTATATGTAGGATTAGATTCAGATTTATTAATTCGTTAAAGTGATATGTGGGTGGAGGTGTCTCTTTGTATACAATCAGCTTAGAGCAATCTGAAGGATTACAGATACTGGTCAGTATATTGTGTGAGTGTGAAGCTAGCTACCTAATGAGCTGTCAGTATGTGCTGGAAGTTACGCTTTCTTGTAACTACTGCCACCAATCTAATTTTTAAATAAGCCATAAATGTTTACAGACATTCAAAAGATGTCTTCCTGTGCCTGCAAGCAATCTAAATTTATACTTGAAAATTTAGAAGATATTCTGAGGGATTTTACCTTCAGAAAGAAGATACTTATGGCAATTCAAATGCCAGCATTGTGAACGGTCCCCAGTATTTCTTTTTCTGGTGACATCTGGCAAATGTGTTTATTCCACAACCCAATAACTTCTCAAGCTTTATTGCCAAAACCCCAGCTGCCCTTTTCCCAGTTGCAGGAATCTCTAATGTTCACCCTTAACATCTTTCACAATGTTAAATAAATTAAAATAAACTGAACTGAAAATAAAAGTAACTCCAGCAATTGTTATGCTGAATCTGTCCTCGTGCTCATTCAAGAAGTCTTCTATTAAGGAAGAAATCCCCTCTGTCTTTCCAGAAAGATATGAAAACAAAGTGGCTTTGCAGCAGCATTTAGGCGCACATTTCCACAGAATTTTTATTCTAGAGACTGAATATAAATCTCTGATGTGGAAGAGTGAGTTACAATACTGGGATGTAGATCTGTTCTTGCTGTATACAGGTAGTTTTATAACTGTAGTTACAATATGCTTAGTAATAAATCCAATGTTATATCCAACAGCAGGCGTTCTGACTTTGACTACTTAAGTGCATGTAAGACAGTGTCAGTGCTTTCTCTTTCCACATCCTAAGCAGAGACCTGTAGAAGGATGGCAAGCTTTTTGTGTAGACTAGGAATGAACAGGTACTCAGCTATGTTTGTATTTGTCTTGATTAATATAAGTAAAAGAAAAACTGCAGTGAAAGTCTTTACAGTGTTGCTAGCTAATTAATTCTAAGAAACAGGTTGCTCACTGGCTTGAGCTTAGTAAGAACAAGATGACTTTATTTGGTGATAATCTGCAATATTTTTATGGAACGTATATTGAGTACCATGCCACGATGAGTAACCTGATCTTTCTTGGTGCTGCAGGGAAAGTGTTTGCACTTGAGTCCAAGAACAACTCTCAGGGTCTGGATCTAGCTGAAGCTGAGAAAGCTTGCGTTGACCTGAGTGCTCGCTTAGCAACTGCAGAAGAGCTGAAACGGGCTGTCCTGGACTGTTCCTTCATTGGCTGCACCACGGGATGGCTGGCTGATGGCACAGCTGGGTAAGAACAACAGTGTAAACCTTCCTGAGAAATATAAATGACTGCTGTAAAGACATTTTTCCTCGTAGACTAAGTTTACTACTGAAAAACACTGGCCACAGTTTAAGCACTGTGGTGTACATGTCATCCTGTCCAGAGTTTCCTCTTCCTTTTTCTTACCGAGTTGTCACAGTTCTGCCCCACAGTGGGGCAATGAGCCCTAAAGGAGCTTGCAGCCTATGGACAGAATACTGAGTTATCAGCATCAGTGCTCCCACTGACTGTAGGTACGTACTCAGTTTGCTGAGATTCTCATAGAAATTGGGTCTCTGTCTCAGTTATTTATTGCTGTCTAAGAATATGATAGGCATGTTCAAGCAGGTGTACCTAGATATGATAAGGAAAACCTGTTAGGGAATTGGGTGAGAAAGCTCACCAGAGGGCTGATGTTGTTACTGGACATACTGAACTATATTAATGGAGGTAACACAGGTGACTCCAAATGGCAGTAGGCTGAGATTTGTCTCTCAAATAAACGGCACTACAAGAAGTAAGGAGGAAAAGAAGCAGGGTGAATTCAGCACAGTGATGTTTCTCTTCTGCTGTGAATACTGAAGAATTCTAAATGACTTTCAGTGAAGTTACGATTTTGAGGATGTGTCCTCAGTTGTGCTAGCTGTGTACCAGCAGCAGCACAGCTGTACCACCATGGTGCTCCATCCTGGCTGATGCATGCTTCTTCTGCATGGTGTTAAGGGCTTCCAGAACCCAAGCTGACTCATTCCTGTTACCCTACAGTGCTGAGCTGTGTCAAAAACATACAACTCAACTTCCCTATCTCTTCCAAAATGAAAGCCTTTACAGCATGCCACAGGTGAAGAGACTTTATATTTGATAGATAAAGAGACCAAATCACAGAGAATTCAGTATAACATATATATATCAAGACATTATTTCCAGTTTCCCAAACTTTAGCATACTATTGGATTTTGTGAGAGTTACCAGTTACCCTATAAGCACACACTGGTGTTCATGTATTTTCAGTAGTAGAACAGAACTTCCAAAGGACAGAAATAGCAACAATTGAAAATGATACTTAAACAATTTCAAGCAAAAGAAACTTGTTCAGGTGATCCTTTATTTTTCAGGTGGAAATTTTTTTTTTTTTCTGGAAGATTTATTTTTATGTACTCTTAGACATTTAAAAAGATAAGAAATATCTCAGTATAAAAGATAGCGATCTAAACACTAAAAATTTTTCTTCCTGCCCTGGTTGCTGATATGTCATGTAGGCTGAAGAGCCAGAAAAACTGTGTCTAAGAAATGCAAGGAGAAGTTGTTGTACAAGTCCTTTCGTATCACCTCTCTATTATGGAAGCAAAGAGTGCTGAAGGGTGGGAGAAGGAAGCACACCTTTTTTTATCTGGGTAGTACCACTGATTTGTCTGAGAGTTCCTCAGTTCTTTAATATAAGCTCTGGAGCTATGACTATGAGTAGACCAGTTGTGGACCTATCCCTCAATATCTTCAAAATGAAAATTGGATACAGTGATGGTATTGTTGTGTGCATCACATTATGGTGATGTGGGAATGCACACAACATAGACTCATGGAATCATTAAGGTTGGAAAAGACCATGAAGATCATCTTGTCCAACCATCAGCCCATCATTGCAGTGATCGCTAACCATGTCTCTCAATGCCACATCCACACAGTTCTTGAAATGGTGACTCCACCACCTCCCTAAGCAGCCTGTTAATTCATCAAGCATCAGCTGGGCTGTTTTCTACTGTGCCTTTCTTGTTAGAATGAGCTTGCTCTACATCTCCCTCTTCCAAATCCTTAAAAGTCATGCTTACAAAAGAACTTGGCAGTACTAATGGGTTTGTGCTACCTAGTGTACTTAATAAATCCTTGATATTTTCTTCCTATATTTCAGTCCATCTTCTTGTTTCTTTCTTTTCTTTGGAAAAGATGGAAAGTAACATTCAAGGATTACACTAGCTATGTTCTGATGGTGAGTGGTTACTTAGGTATCATACTAATGGAGAGGAAGGAGGCTTTTTATCTCTTCCATCTTCCCGTACTCCATTCATCTGGTAAATTCTGTAAACTATTCATCAGAAAGGACATTAACAGGGGCACATGCACAAACTGTTGCTGTGCACACGCCATGTATGGAGATTTCTGTAGGTACTCACCAGAGAGTAGTTCTTCGGAGCTCCTATAAGATGAACTTTATTTTCTTGTCTGGGATTCTCTTACTTACGGCTGGGCAAGCTCCAGAACCTGCATTGCTTGCTTCATTGAAGTGAGTTCTTAATACACTCAGGGAAAGTGCAATGTCTGAGAAGACTATACTGGTTTCACTGTTAGTTAAGGCAGCTCTGGCAGAAGAAATGGGCAGCCAAGTGCAAAGTATGTAAATGGGACAAAGCTATTCAAGTTGAAGAAGCCTTTGCATAATATGAAGATTTTTTCAGAGGGATTTAGATTAATGAATAAAGTGATGACAAATGAAGTTCAATAACAATATACTTGGGAATGAGTATGCAGTCTACTTGAAAATATTTCACACACCAATAGTGTGTGATCTATCAGTCCAGAAAAGATATGAGGAAATCACTGTGGAGGGAACAAAGAAAACCACTGTCGAAGAAGACAGAACTAAGTTTTTAGAGTGTCTGTGGAATGGGCTGGATGTAATGAAAAATGCATACACGTGTATGCATTTATACACTCATATATAGGTCAGTGTAACAGGAGGCTTTGGAGTAACTCCTTCAGAGTTCCTGTTACTCCATCTTAAAAAAAAAAAAAAAAAAAAAAAAAAAAAAGCTTAAGAATGATTAAAGGCATGGCAAAGCTATTGAGAGGGGGCTCAACACATTTGTACTTGTCAGTTATTTGCTTTAAAAAATATTTCTAGAGGAACCTATTCAGTATTTTGGGCATTTCTTTAATAAATGAAAAGTACCAGCAAGGATCAAGGATAAACTGTGAATATGAACACTTCAGTCCACACTCTCTTCAAATGATTTAACGAGGAGGGGGCAAAATGGGCTTCCCTGCAGATCCAGATGATCACAGAAGTAGACAAAATTATTTCCAAAACATAGGATTCCTCACTGGGTACTTCTTGTGTTATTTATCTTGATGGAGCTTCACATCTTCAAATGTGATGGCATGGCCCAGAGGAGGAAGTCACCACCCACGTTTACTAGTCCAAAACTATTTAGGTCTTTAGAAATTGGAACTAATACCTTGGATCCCACCCAGAAACTGATTGGAATCCATGGAAGATCCCAGAGCTTTAGTCCTGTATTCTCCCATATCCTCTTGGATCGTGTGCATCAGAAAGGAGATGAATAAGGGGGAACATGGGAACATGATAAAAGTAGTTCCTAATTTCAGGAAGAATGCATTTTATTATTATTATTATTATTATGCTTTTTTTTTTATGCCTGAAAAATATCTTAATCCTTCCTCTGAGGAAAAATGGATTAAATGCTGGCAACAGAAGCAAGCACAGACAAGTAATAGGAGTGAAGGCGTGGTGGAGCTGCAGATTTTATGATGTGCTTCAGTCTTCCTTCCACAACATAGACTTAAAACTGCATATAAGCATGTAAGGACATTTTCACCTCTTGGTGAGTTTTCTGGGTCTTACATAAGCTGGTGACAGCCAGTTCATACCTGGTGGCTGTTCTTTGATCTTTTTGAATTATACTCATCGCTCTTTGCTGTTGTGCCCTTATTATTATTTTTACGTCCAAATGAGGGCCTGTAAGCCTGTGGAAGTTCCTCCTTTAATGTCTGAGGTGCGTTTCTGAATCAGTCAATGTGTTTATACTACTTGCTCTCAGGGTGTTAGGTGTTAAAAGACATCATTTTGTAACGAGTGATGCCAGGGGAAATAGATATCATTCTGCTAATGGAGCTGCTCATTGGAGTTCTCTAACCCATTTTCTGCTCTGTAGTCTGAGTTAGCCTAAGCAGCAGGTTTTGACAAATACAAATTGCCTTAACTGACTTGTGATAGAAATTGCTTAAACAAACTGTTCTCTGCCAGTAATTCCAAAGACACAATAAACTCATTGGCATTGTGGTTTGAGCAGCCTGGGACAGAACGTCTTTCACAGGCATAAGGTTATGTTTTTGTCTCCCACTTCCAACTGTTCAGAACAACCCAATTCAGAGCTTGGGGCTGTTCGCACAGGCAAGTTGCTGGCAGGTCCAGGGACATGAAAACTTTTAGATAAGATCCACTGATGAATAGGTAGGGTCCAGAGGACAAGTGGTACGTTCTTCCAGCAGCCCAGAAGTAAGTCATTTAGAAGTCAGCCTTGAAATGTGTAACTTGTGAAGTATTACACATTGTTAGAGTGCAGGAAATGAAATGCTGTTTAGGCAGGTTTCATTTGTCAGATTAGAATGAGCCCTAATGGCTATTAATACTAAAATGACACTCTTATAACTTATTTGCATGTCAGACGAGTGAGTCAGTAAAACCAGAATATAAACAACAACAAAAAAAGGTTGTAGAGTTCTTTGAAAAGCTTTTACTGCTATTGTATGGGAACTGGTGAATCACGGCCTGGGCCTCTGATTGACCACCTGAGGCGAGCACTGAGTCAGCCATGGAGCACAGGTGAAGGCGATTCAGCTGTGTGATGGAAGGAGTGGAGCCTGGCTGCACCTCTCCTAGACCCATTTGAGAGCTGACTGCCAGTGGGGAAGGATCTCTTCTGTAGATCTGTCCTCTGGAGTTTTGCAATGAGCCCAGGACAGGGGTAAGCACTCTTATCTATTCTTTTTCTGTTATTATAATCTGCTTTGCCAAACTCTCTTGGTTTCTTTCTTTTTTTCATAATTATAACATCTTTATATTCATTGATTATACAGCTATCTTCTGAAAACTGTGCCTAGTCCTGCAGCACTGGGCAGTGCAGTGTGTTCTCTCAAATGTTCATTTCTGTTTTGTTTTTTAATCTGGAAAGTAAGCATGATAGTTTTTCTTA